TCCGACGCGTACGTTACATAGGTACGGTACGGTTTTACGTTTTACGGCGATTAAACAACGGCCGATTGCCCGTCGTCGTCGAGGACCGCTGTATCTGACGTATCTTATCTGACATTATATTACACTATACAGATAGTCTTACAATATTTCCAAATTATAAATACAAAATATTATTTATTTTAAGTTTATAAAAACTACTACTGGACCTTAAACACACGGGTAATTTTAATAAACGGGTAGATACAATTTTAAAACACGTGGTTCTTAATACACGTGTACAGCACGAACTTTAAAAACACGTGTAATTAAATACACGGGTATTCATACAATTTACTATTTAAGGTACGGACTTCGTGTACACGTGTATATCAATACACGTACCAGACCGAGAGCCCTAATTTATATGCTTTTACCGAAGAATCGTTTAGTCAAAGTCCAACGTATAAAACACCATACGAGACGCTAATTAATGTAAAAAATGTATGCGTAAAGGAAAAGATTACCGTTTTAGCAATTCCACAAATAATGTCTGATCTTAATTATGATATAGTTAGGAGTATGTTACGATACATTTTCAAAGGTACTGATATTAAAGTAAAAATATATACAGATTATACAATTTCCGATGAGGTGAAGAAAAGCATTAATTGAGGAACAACATATCGCACTGTCAGTACAATAAGGCCATAACTCAAAAAAAGCAAATGTTCAGGAAATCAATATGAACATTTAGAATAAAATGACAATTTTTTCATCAAACAAAAAATTATATTCAGGGTTAAGATACATATTTATAATTTTGTTGTGATTATAATCAAGTGATATTCTATCCTTGTAAATATCTTTACTTTTGTGTGATTTCAACTTGAAGGAACAAAAATTGAAAATTTTCTAGTTATGACATTTTTGCTCTACCTTTTAAATTGATTTTAGTTTTTAATACTATTTTGGCCATAAACAAAATATTTGCAGTATTAAAAATGATGATTTAATTAATATAATTATATAATTAAATACGTTGATGTTGACTCTAAAAAACACTTAAACTATGAATAAAATAACAGCATAATATAATATTTAGTTAATAAATTGAACAACCTCAGTCTCTTGAATATTTGATTATTTTTTAGCAATATTGACATCGAATTATAACAATTTGTATATTAAATTATTATTATAACAAAATAATATTATAATTTTAAAATTATGATAATAATATCATTTTTTGTATTAAAATAAAAAATAAATAACATCTCTTCTATCTCTTAGTTTCCTTATTATTTAAAATAAATAATTTTTCCTCAATATATCAATATATTCTACTGTGGTAGTGTGGTTGAGAATTGATAATCATAGAGAGTAGAATTATTATATTTACTTATATTCTCTTAAAAAATATTTTAATAAATTAGGTATACATTTTGTAACAGTCGTATGACGTTAATTCAATAATACATAAATAATATTAATACTTAAGTTAGCAAAATACAAGTTTTACTGTATATTATAATAAATTATTAAGTAATACTGTCTTACTCGGTTTTCCTTTATGTTAAGTAGCTCTTTTAGGGGTTTTAATAGATATTTTTGCATCACACTTTAAAAGTTTCTTAACTCTACCACGAAAAGTCGTTATAGTTATTATAATAGTACAAAAATATACACAATTTAAAAATTTTGAATTAGGGTAATAGAGTATGACTAGAGTACAAATGAGTGTAATGAATGAATGATAATAATATTTTAATATTATTATTGTTATAACGTATGTAATATCTCAATATGCTATATAGATCTGAAAGTTTGATTGTTTTAAGTTGCAAAAGCGCCATATTTCAATATATATTTTTATTTTTTTCATTTAATTCAAATTCATACATACATACATGGGCCCCACTGAAAGAACTCATCATTATCAAAAAATATGGTCTTATTGTTCTGACCCTATGTACTTGTTTCAGTAAACGAACACATTTCGATTTACGACCAAATTGTACTTAGGAACTTAACATACACGTCCAATGCAATAAAGATTTTCCAAAAATATTATTATTATTAACATAAAGAGGTAGATGACACCGTAAACACAAAAATCATAAATTTTAGTTGTGGCCTTATTGTACTGACAGACAGTGCGTTATGACGTGCATAGGAGGTCATCAGGGAGTTTCCAGAACAGTAAAACGTTTACGTCAATGGGTACCTACAATGGAAAGGCATGAAAAAAGAAGTTAGGAACCATATTAACAATTGCAAACCGTGTCAAATTAATAAAGAAAAACGGAAAAGTAAACAACCTTTGGTAATTACCACCACTTCGTCGAGAGCATTTGAAAGAGTAGCTTTAGATATAGTAGGACCTCTGACGAAATCAAGAAATGATTACATGTACATCTTAACCCTTCAAGATGATTTAACTAAATTTTCGGCGGCATATCCATTAAAAACCACGGACGCAGCGACCATAGCTAAGACATTTGTAGAAAAATTCGTTTGTTATTTCGGAATTCCTACAAATATATTAAGTGATCAGGGTTCAAATTTTTTATCATCGTTATTTAAACAAATGTGCAAATTATTAAAAATTAATAAAATGCAAACCACAGCGTATTCGCCAATGACCAATGGTGCTCTTGAGCGTAGCCATAAAACGTTAAAGGAATATTTAAGGAACTTCAGTGACGAAAAACAAGAAAATTTGTGTGAAATGCTAAGTTATGCGATGTATATGTATAACACAACACCACTACCGCACATGAGTTCACACCATATGAACTAGTATTCGGTATACAACTGGTTATTCCATCTAGCTTTTTGAAACCACCATCACAGGGTTATAATTACAATGATTCCGTAAGTGATTTGAGAACTCGTATGCAGGAAGCAAGGCAAATGGCAAAAAAAACATTTAATTGAATCAAAATTAAAATCTAAATCTAATTACGACAAACACATTAACCCGGTAGAGTTAGAAATAGGAGATAAGGTACTTATGAAAAATATGAAAAAGAAAAACAAGTTAGAACCTAATTGGATAGGTCCATACGAAATCGTGGAGGTCCATGAACCCGTAAACGTATCGATTAGGAAGAATAACAAAATAGTAAGAGTCCACATGAATCATTTACAACTATTTAACGAAGTTGTTGATAATAATTAAGAAAATATATACAAATATAGAATGTATAAAATATTAGTATATAAGTAAATTTAAATGAATTATTAGATAACGAAATCATAGACACTAATCTAGTTAAAAATTGTTATAGGTTTATTATATGTCTGTCCATCGTACACACACCAACACACGGAACACAACATGCACTATACACATACAACACGTGAGCAACCACTCAGGGCTTTATTTTGAAAATAAAGGATCATAAACACACAATGAACACTTTTGACATATTATGTTAATCTAACAATTTATAACGAACGCGAGAACATTTTTGATACATATTTTAGATAGTACAAACAATATTGCTTGAGAACGAATTAATACCGTCAAAAGCCAACATCATTTGTCAAAATTTCAAAACTGTATTTACGGATTTCACTAATGAAATTTTAAACAAAAGGGCAAACATTTTGAAAACCTTAGGACATCCTTCAAAAAGGGAAGGAGAGGAGTAATTGTGGTGTAGGTAATTTAGCAAATTTATTT